CACATACAACTCCCAGAAGGCCACATGGGATTATACCAGACACTTAGGGCCAGGAGCCAGCCAGAGGAAAACATCATCTTGTTGTGTGATCTTGGGCAAGTCTCCACCTTTCTCTGGACCTCATTTTTCTCATAAGCAGAACAAAAGAGTTACATCATATAAACCCATATTTTATGGAAATGGAAGATTTCAGATATTCCATGATATTTATTCTTAGCACACTCAGTTCCCCATCCCCCACTTCCTCCATTGGTAGATTCTATAGCATTGCTTCCCATTTTGTCGACATGCTATTTTGTACTAGACTCCTGGCCTGTAAGTGTGGAAGAGTCATCTCTACAAATAGGTTGCAGATTTCTTGCAAACTGGAGCTCCTGCTCAGTGGAACTCTAAGAAAACAGTGCCTAAATATTACAAAGTTCTGACGATAGCTATCATTTATTGGAGGTCTGCTAGGTGTATGGTGTTTTCAACAGTTTCTATATCCTTCAAAATAAACTTTCAAAATTTATTCTATTTAAGTCTGGCTTACAACCATCTAGGGTTGGTTTGATTCGAGAGCCCTTGAACTTTTTACCACATTGTTGTTCATTTGCACCTTTAATATGTATTTCCTGCAGTGCTCAAATGGCTTTCTTTGGAGGTGGGGGCAGGAGAGGGAAAGTCCACGACTGTATCATGAGCATTGTGGGATCAACCATGGGCTCAGGTCCCGCTCAATGGCCTTACTCACCACCTAGGACTTCAGGGCTGAGCACACAGCTCAGCAGCAGGAGAAGTCGCATACTTCTGGATGCCATTCTTCCTCTTCCCCTAAGGACAGTACTTTCGATACTTCAACTCCAAGAATCTCAGAGTCCTTGTTAATTTTTCTTTGCAACTCCTAGATTTTCCTAGATCTGCAATCAGAAACACATTTGCACCAATGTAAAGGACCTAGGAATTTAATGGAGGAAAATAATATTTTTTCTGGTGAAATCCAGATTTTGCAATGAAGAGAATATCAAGTTAATGTAGAGATAGGAAAACTTAATTTAAACGATTTTGTTCTTTCCTGCAAGGCATTCTGAACCAGTGCCGGAGACCTAACTACAGCAGTCTGAACAGTTTAATAGTCTAAATGGAGAAGGCAATTAATAACTACAGGAAAGCCGGTTCCTGTTATTTTCAGGAGAGCCAGCAGAGGGCGAGCTTTCTCAACTAGATAGTGATGGGCTTTCTAAAGTCAAGAAAAGCAAATCAAATGGTTCCAACACTAATGTTAAGGTTCAAACTAAACATAAGGCCCAACATTCAGATTTTAAAGGTAAAAAAACTTGAGGTCTATAGCTATGAAGTCTCATTTTTACTAGTTACAGCTAGATCTGACTTCAACCCAGCACTTTTTCTTTTATAGTTTGTTGACATCACTTTTTTTAGTAGCTTTGTTATCTTCCTCCATTATCAAAAAGTATATGTTATGAAAACATCAATGCAAAACCAGAAAGTAAAAATTAAATACCATTGCTCAGAACTAAACTATTCAGTGAATAGCCCTACAGACATTTTTCTATGAATCTCTTTGTACAATTTTATATAAATTTCATTATTATGGTTTTGTTTCTCAGAAACAGATCGATTTTAATGGTGTTCTTGTAGTCGCATTTCCTCATGCAGTTTTGATTCCCATATAAGTTCACTTATGCCAGGTTGCAACTTAACAGAGTGTGCACATTTTTGTTTTGAAACTCTGCTGAAATTCCTTCTGAAAGGTTTTACCAGGTATTCCACCAGTAGTTTTCAGGGATGTTGGTTTCTCCAACCTCTACACCAAAATCCCACACCCCCCACCAACTTTTTTCCCCCTAATTTAGGTATATTAAAGAAAACATCAGTATTTTGTCACTATATTAAAGTTGCTAATAAAATCATCTTTTTTTAATAATGATTAGCTTTTTGTTTTTCTTTTGTGAATTTTAAGTGGACAGTTTTTAATATTTTTCTATTTCATCATTTTTTGGAGGTGGTACTTGACCACCAAGCCACATCCCAGTCCTATTTTGTATTTTGTTTAGAGACAGGGTTTCACTGAGTTACTTAGCACCTTAATTTTGCCGAGGCTGGCTTTGAACTCTCGATCCTCCTGCCTCAACTTCCAGAGCTGCTGGGCTTACAGGCGTGCACCACTTTGCATTCATCCTTCTTTTTGATCATGATTTGTGACACCTTTTTGTATGTCTTTTATATGCTATTAACAGTGTTTCCCAGTTTCTATTTTTCTCTGGTTCATATTTTTTTACCATTCTAAAATTTTCAAAAAATTACATTGTCCTATGTATGATCTCCCTTAGAATTTTTGGAATTTATATCAGACTATCTGACCGTCACTGTTGCATAAGTTTAAAATAGTCATCCTTATTCCCTTCTTTTTCATCTATCTAGGCTTTATGTTAGTGTAAGTCTGAAACTGGGTTCTAGATTTTCTTTGTCAAATAATTATTTAAGTGAATGACCCATTCAGTTTTTATTTGGCCATAATTTATGGTAAAAAGTCAGGACACATGGTCGAGCTATCAAAGAATAGATGGCTTAGGGAGAATAGTGGAATTACAGATCTGAACTACTGGAGACTTTCCTGGAAAATCTAATCTGGGGTCCATATGAACACTTTGATGAGTGTTAACAAGAGAAAACAAAAGGTGAAGAGTGTGGAACTGTTGTATACCCTCCTTTTTTATTAATTACATGAATACACACTTATATCCTCCCACAAGTAATGGAGTATTATCAGTGTCCTAAAATCCTTTATATGCAAATTGTTAAAATTTATCTATCAAGATGTCTGGGGGAAGAAGGATGCAGCTTTTTAAAAAAAAATCAATCTAAATGAATCATTGATGTCTAGTGGATACCTATGCCATGGTATTTAAGTCCCACAATTAGGCTGCATTACTGGAATCATTACCTTATTTTACAGGTGAGGAAAGTGATGTTCATTGAGATTAAGTCACATTTCGAAAGTTTTACAGCTGGTAGGCAGCAGAGCTGTGATTTAACCCAACACTGAGAGACACCAAAGCAGATGCTCCTCAAAATGAGGGAGAAAGAAAATAAGCAATTCAAATCAGACAGCACAGCAACAAAAAGCATCACTAACCTCACGAGAGCTATGATTTGTAATTTCTAGCAGAGGAAAACAGAAGTCCAAAGAAAGCCCTCTGACCCTGCTTCCATGAGGATCATTACCTGGTTGGCCCCGAGGCTTTGAGAACCCTGCCTTCTTCAGCGTCTCCAGTGGTCCCAGGCAAAATTTCTGGAGCTCTTATATCATCTGGCTTCAGGATTTAATAACCTTAATTTTCATCATAGGGGCAATAAGGTTATTTGCCAACCAATAAGCCTTATCTGGGGTAAAAAAAAAATGAGAGAGAAGAAAATTCACCATGTAACCATGCAAGTGATGGCTTAAGGATAGAGGCAACTTGTGCTTTGAACAGCCAGAAAAGGAACCTCTCCCAGTATGCAAACAGAATCTCTCCTTTATATCCCATGTTATAAAAATCAACAGTATCCTACAGTCTGTTGATAGCCCATCTTTCTCTCCCCTTACTTCACTTATTATTTTTTTTGTTCTCTGTCTTTATATATATTTTGTTACAGATTGCCCGTATCTCCCCTTCCTTTTTAGAAAGATGCCCCACTTTAGCTCCAAAGAATCATGTTTCTATCCTTGCAGACAGGTTTTGCCATCAGGGATGGACCTATGTGTCATGACCCGTGTGGTTTGCCTTACAGGATTCCCTCTCTGAAGCCCAACCTCCTCTCTCCCAGCATGCATTGGGTTTCTCAGATTTCTACTATGTGAGTTCTTCCTGTAGAACAAGATACTGAAATCTTGTTCTTATGCAGGGCAATGATGTCAAAATATCTTTTGTGGATATAATATCTTACAATGGTATCTCTTAGATCATCAGATGAAATCCTAATAAAATCCCTATGATCAATGTAGGACAAGGCATCCCCATTACACCCTCAAGAAACCCAATGTCAAGAAAGATTAGGAAACGGGCACAGGTTCTCAATGCTGGCCAGTAGTGGAACTAGAACCTCTGACTCAAAATATGGCCCTGCTTGCAGAAGCATGGTCTTGTTGAAAAAATAAACTTTTTGGAAAGGGCAACAAGGTTTCCTTTCCAGCAGTAGGTGGCAAAGTATTAAACAATGTTGTAGTTGCCAGAAGTCATTAGTCTTGAAGTATGTAAAGGGTCTGTGTGTTTGGAAAACTTAAACCTTGAACCTGGAAAGAACTGTGATAATTATCAAATCTTACTCTACTGGAAAGGAGCTGAGGCCCAGAGAAGGGTCCTGAGCTCTTCAGTCCACAGTTGGTTGTAGGTGAAGCTGACATCAGAAGTTAAGCTTCCATGCTCCAAGCTCAGTGTTGTTTTTAAAAATGCTACTGAGCCTTTTTTGATTGTATTTTTCCAACCTGTGCATGAAGTCATGATAGGACCTGAGAAGGCTCTGCTTTAATGGTTTACAAAGGACGTTTTAACTTCTACTCTGATGATGCTCTGGGGGTCTGGTTTCCCATGGAGCTTGGCCCCCCTTTCATTGGGTAGCACTGAACATGCTATGGAAACTCTCTGAGCCTTGGATTTCACATCGGTATGTGGAAGGATGGTATTACCAGATGAATTTCATTGTATGCACTACCTGTTTAACACAAACCTTTTTCTGTTAGGCAGCTGGATGGGAATCACCACTCCTT